TTTCACACCCAGCATAGGATAGCCTTAATTCTAACAGTGAACCATGAACCAATGCTTGATCCCAGCAACACTCACCCTAGATCCAGCCGCCTCCAAAAAGCCCCACCTATGAGCACATGAGGCTTTGTGGGACACCTAGATAACAAACCATAACACAGAGCCTATCACAGTCTGGTCCCTTTTCCAGTCTTACCCACCTCCCCCTCGCATATCTACCCCAACCTCAACCTATGCAAGCCCAAGTTGTCCCACCCTGCCGCCTTCACTGGGTCTTGTAGGTCATCTCCCCTAGGAAAGCTTCCTTCATTCCCCTCAGCCAAGAACCATGAAATCTTCCTTTGAACTTGCTTTTCCCTTTGCTTGTGCCTTTGCATTGTGCTGTGAGCAGTGGTGAGTTAGAGAATGCTCTTATACAGCAGGCAACACATTCAAATAATGCTTTAGGAAAATGGATCCATGTCCCATGTAGTGCAGAGACAAGTGAGACTACAGGTGGCAAGTCAGCTCGAAAGACTTCTGCTGGAAGAGCCTTTGGAGGGATGAGGATATCGTCTTCCTGGGTTAGTTTTCCCTTCAGCCTGCTTTTGTCTGGTATCTGGAGACTCAGGTCCTGAGATTTTCCTAGCATGACTGAGTCAAGGGGGGAGCTGACATGAGGACCCTGGACTCTGGTCACATCATGGGCTCTGTGCTCAGCACCCCACACTCCTCTCCCTTTCCCTGCGGCCACACTGCTTACTCTCTTGGCCAGTGGGGACCCCAAGGGAGGCTGCCCACTAACTGCAGCCTGCGTGAGCCAAGCACTTGGCCCAAATGCTGGGTTCACTAAGCATCCAAAAGCCTGGCAGGTGAGCAGCGCACAGAAACGCAGTCTGTTCTGCAGTGTAAAGTTCTGAGTCTGTTTTGTCCATTCATCTCTGCAGCAACCCTGGGAAGAAAATCCTGTTTTAAGCCCCATTTTGCAGTGAAACAGAAGCTCAGAATAATGGCAGACTAAGCTAGGCATTCACTGGGAGGTGGGCTCAGAATTTGAACCTGGTTCTGACTCTAAGCCTGGGCCATTCCTCACCACATAGCAGCAGAAAGAACATGAAGGTCCCAAGGCCACAGTCTCCAGGTTCACCCAGTCAAAAGCCAACAACAGGCCCCAGAGGTGCCCAGTCAGACCTCCAGGTCTCAGGGCCTCTGAAAATCCCTGTGGCCATACCACTTGCTCTCTTGGCCTGTGGCATTCCTGGGTTCCAGTATTGTTCCTTGCAGTTGAACCTGGCCTCAGAACTGGCCCTGGAGATGAGAACACAGTGGTAAAACTCGGGAGTTCAGCACCTGCGGCCAGATGAGGGGTATGGATGTGGGCAGGCATGCAATTGAGCCTCAGAGAATGCTCTCTGTTTCTAGTAAGCTGGGTGAGCCTTTGTGGCCTGCAGGCCCACCTCACCCAGATGGGCCTGCCATCTTTGCTCAGCAGCCTCAGGGACTGCGGGTCCCTAGAGTCAGAGTCTCAGGCTCCTGAGGGAAGTACAGAAAAGCACAGACCCCAGCAGCCTTACCCTGCTTTGCCCCTCACACCCCACACGCTCTGCATACTGTGTTTTCCTTTCTGTGCCTCAGTTTCCTTAGAGGAGTGTTAGGTAAGGGGCTCTCAGTCCAGCACCAGCACTGCTCAGAAAGTGGCAGCTATGCTGTTGCTACGGGTCCTGGGTCCCAGTTGCTGCTGCTGGGGGTGGGGGGCTGCTCCAAGGCTCAGGCTTGGGGAGGGCTGACTCCCCCAGGGTGGGGAGTCCTCCTTCCCCGGGAGAGAATTGAATTGGAGTGCTCCTGCCAACCCCTCCCTCCTGGCTTGGCAGCCTGGAGGCAAAGCCAGCCAAAAATATTTGTGTGGGTGGCGGAAAGTTAACTTTTCCGCCTCTCTTGTCTTTCCTGGAAACCGTGGCCACCATCAAATACAGCAAAACAGAAGCAGGGATAGCGTGAGGCGAGGCCTGCATGGGGAGTCAGAGCCCTGCCCCCGCCCCATGCCCACTCCTGCTGCCTCTCCATCTGGCTCTGTGGTGGGTGGGTTGGGGGCTGCGAGTGCTGAGCATCACAAGATCCTGCCACGCCCGAGTCCCACAGCCCCTCCACATGGGCTGCCTCAGCCTGCATTGTGCCCTTGGTGAAACTGAGTCCAGTACACAAGGCACCTGCCTGCCTCACACAGCCAACCAGGAGTCTGGAATCTACTGGCCCCTCATGAGAGTCTGAAACTCAGACAGCAGCAAGCTGGCAGCAGCTAGAGTGACACTAGCTGGAGAGGAATGAGAGCCTGGAGCCATGTGTTCTGCACCCCTGTGTCCTGGTTCATGGTCAAGGAGACAGAGCTAAGTTTGGATCCCAGACCTGCCACTTTCTAACTGAGCCTCAATTTCCTAACCTCTGAGATGGGGTAATAATCAAGTATCTGTCTCATATGGGAGCTGTGAGAATTTACAGCGATAACCTAAGCGAATATCCCAGGATGGAGTAGGTGCTTAGTGTCCCCAGCTAACATCCTTCCCCTGGGCTCAAGGCTGGCTTCTTTCTCCCAATTTTCCTGCTGTAACAGGTGCCTGGTTATCTATCTGATCCTGATGTGTGTTTGCCTTTCCCCTGGTTGGCTCTGATTTTCCCTAGCGCCTGGCTTATCTCTCCTCCTGCCTACCAAACTCCTGGCACAGCCTCTGCTAGGGGTCAGGGCTGCAGTGGGGGGCCTGACCTCTGCAGGGACACAGGTGTGGGCACTGTCACTGAAGCCAGCCCAGGGCCGTTATCCATGTCCACAGATGTGCTCAGGGCTCAGGATTCTCGCATGCTTCTCCCCCATTTTGCAACAGGTTATGTGAGATTCTGAGTGTTCACACAGCTAAATGTCGTAGAATCAAGTCTTTAAACAAGATCTGATCATTCCAAGGTTTCCTCCCAAGTGTAATCGCCATGAGGTCTGCTCTAAGTGCTCTCTGCCCAGCCTGGGGACTCATCCTGCCTTCACAAATGAGTTCCAAGCCTCTGTCTTCATCTGGAACCCTCTTCCGCTCTGCAGACCCCCAAGGGGCAAGTAAAACTGCCCCTTGCTCACCTTCCCTGGAATCCCAAGACAGCAAACTTCTCATCTTCCTGCTCCACTGAGCCCTGGCTCTTTCCCATTTATTCCTAATCTTTATTAGCAACATCACTCTGTAGCCGAGCTGGGAAGTGGTGCTGTCTCATAGGCTCCGCCCCTTCCTCCACTCCCACTCTCCATCTGCCTCCCAGCCCAGCCCGTCCACCCCCAGGCATCTCTCCCGTCAGTCAGTCCATCGGCTCTCCCAGCCCCCTAGAGGGAGCCTGCAGCCCCTCTCCTAATTGTCATCATTCTTAACATTCATACGTAATTATATAATTGTTGTTTTTCTTATCATTCATGGCTCTCCCACCAGATTTTAAATCCTCAAGCGCCAGATTCCCCCATACCGCCTTTATCCCCTTCATTGCAGCGGCGGTTTTCATGGAATCTGAAATAGAAGCACAAGAAGTTTTAGTGGAACGAGAGAATAGCCAATGCATGTTAAATTATGGCTGAGAAGCTGCGCCAAGTTCTCCATGTACATTTTCTTATTTTCTCCTTAACACGACACGAAGTTGGAGAGTGTTCTGTGTCTCCTATTTGAAAATGCTCAAGACCAGAAATGTTTTAGATTTCAAAGTCGGTCATATTTTGGAATCCATGTATACAAATGAAGAGCTAGCTCAGGGGTGGGATCCAAGTCTAAACTTGAAATTCAGTTATGTTTCATATGCACCTTGTATGCAGTGGTACCTCGGTTTACAAACTTAAAAAAATTTGTCTTCCGATTTGGGGGAAGATGGCTACCTTTGTGCGTGAGTGGGGAAGATAGCTGAGGTTGTGTTGGTCCCCCAGTGCAGAGTTTGTGAACAGAAGCTAAACTGTGCCCAACACTTTTGTCTGCAAACCCAATTGTTTGCAAATAGAAACATTCGTGAACCGAGGCGTTACTGTACATAGCCTGTTAGTGTGCCTGTGTTTTGACTTCGGCGCATCACGAGATCAGGAGCAGATTGTGAACTTGTGGTGTCATGTTGGTGCTCAAAAAGTTTGGGTTTGGAGAGAATCTAGGTTTTTTGTTTTTGTTTTTGATACATGGTTTCCCTATACAGCTTGAATACATAGTGATCCTCCTGTCTCAGCCTTCCCTGCTCTGGGATTATAGGCACGTGCCACCATGCCAGGTTTTGGGCCCACATGGCACATCCAGGGTTCTGGGGTTCGCATGGCGTGCAGTGCCAGGGACAAATTTGGGACCTTGTGCTTGCCAGGCAGGCACTTAGAGCGCTGAGCTATCTCTCCAGCCCCAGAATTTGGGGGGTTTAAATTAGTGATGCTCAACCTTTATAATAATAGTACACATTAGTGCTGGGGAAGTGGCGCTAGAGCCCACCTCCCAAGTGGCAGATCTGGTATTCTAACTCAGAGCCAGAGCCTGTAAGCACCCCGTCATCCTGTCTCTCACAGCCTCCTCATGGGGTACCTGTCCCCAGTCTTTTATCCTTCACCCTACAATTCCTGTGATTCCTGTGGTGTGTGGACCTTTGATGGAATGTAAGAGAATTCTTTCTAGGTGGTGCCCAGATAAGTATTTAAATAACTAGATGTTTATTTAATGTGCAGGAAAAAATGACTTAGCACAGTATACTTGTGGTTTTCCTGCAATTATTGCTCAAGATAAGTCTCAAGTAATAGAAGCCCATTACTAAAAGTTGAAGGGAAAATACTAAGTCAACAGTGTCAGGTAGCAGAAGGATATGGTACAAATCTAAAGTGCTTTGTCATTGAAGCTGAGGAAACACGTTCCTATGGAAATGTAGGTCCTGAACTCCAACACCCAGGCAGTTCTCAAGGCTGCACAAAGATGGGTAGATCCCAGAAATTCATCCCAGGACATCCAGTGAGCTGTCTCATGTGCATTTCTTTTCTGCCCATACAGATAGCCTGCCCTGAAGGGACTCACATGCCAGAGGTCAAGAAGTGTTAAGAAGGTGTGGGGGCCACCACTTTACCAGGTGGCCAACCAGGAAGACCTTACCTTACCTCTCAGCTGGACCGTGCCTCTGCTCTGTGGATCAATCAGCAGAGGAAGACAGATCTACAGAGAGCTGGAGGAGGCTGCCAAGGGGAGCAGAGAGCAGGGCTCACACAGGTGGCTGCAACCCCAGCCTTGCTGGCTTTTCTGTGTCTCCAAGGAAGGGAGCATCATGCTTGGCCCTCACTTCCCACCCTCGCAGCTTGGGGCCAGCAAAGGGACACCTTCCCCCTACAGCTTCCAGATCCCTGATGGGAGCTACAGGTGCCTGGCCTTGGAGGCAGAAGAGAGCAGCAGTGAGGAGGGCCTGCAGGGAGAGGTGGGGCTCATGGAGCTGGAAGAGGATGAGGTGACCTGCAGAGCCACACAAGGGCTGCCACAGCTGCCCAGAGTGCTGGGCACTCGGCCACCCAGCTGCTCCAGCGAAGCACGACGGGAGACCCAGTATGATGACAGGGTCAGCCAGGACTGGGATGTGGTGACAGCCCGGCGGGTGATGATAGCCAGCCCCAGCACTGGCCCTGAGCTCAGGGTGGGCCAGAAGCCAGGTAAGCAAGCATCCTTCTCTCCAGAAAGACAGGAAACCCCAGAGATTTAACATTTGCCTTGGGCATATGTTCCGGTGATGGGTAATAAATCCATCTCATCTCATGAGTGTGCCCAGGTTAACAGCTGTGGAGAGATAGGGATGGCTGCCAGTTGTCTGCCACCCCGGCTGAACCACATCTAACCCTGCTTCTGTATCTGCTGAAGAAGACAGGTGAGGAAGCATAGGGACAAAGCCACATTATCACACATGCTTGGAAAAGAGCCCATTCCTCACTCTCACCTGCCCTTTGGTTGTTAGTGGTAATAAGTGACCATGAGGTCCCAAGCAGCTGCTGTGGCAGGACCCAAAATTAGATGTACCTGGGCATGCTGGGATGCAACACCAGACAGGACAGATGTGGTCACTACTGTCGCTGAGTTGGCTGGGCAGAGAGGATGCCTCTGAGCTAAGAAGGATCTCCCTGGAGAGAATGAGAGCGCTGCAGGCCCCAGGTGGTAGGGGTTGAGGTGGGCCAACATTCTGCCCCTAGCCCTCGGTTTCCCATCTGTTAGAGATGACAAAGCAAAGGCCATGTCACCCGGGTGGCACTGGGATCCAATGACAGCTACAGAGAAAGCTCCATGTGCGGTATGGAAGGAAGGAGGGAGTGGGGATCATTTTCCTGCAGGGTGGGTGAGGTAGTCTGCAGAACAGGGTGGGGCCGGGAAACCCACGCTGAATCACCTCCACCGCCGGGCCATGGAAACGCTGAAGTGGGTCCAGATGGGGAAGACGTGAGCAGGGCCATGCTCAGCTCAGCAGGAGCCACTGCCAGTAGATCCTGGGGGTGCAGGGCGTGGGGGAGACAGTCTTGGGAGGGCTTGTGCGTCAGGAAACTGAAGGAACACGCTATTTCTCTGCAGGCATTGCTAACGCCCTGGCTGGCATCTCACCAGCCTTCCCGCCCACTCTGCTTTCTGAAATAATTCTCTCCAGGCTCTGATCTCCCCCATGGACACAGTTTCTGCCCAGGTCTGGGTTATACAGGGAGCTGGGTTAGACAAACAAGAGACCTTAATGCCCCTGGGGCCAGGAGGATGCACCCAGGAAGACTCAGCAGCTCTGAACTGTGAGGCAAATGTGGGTCCTCTGGACCCCAAAGACCCCAGGATCTGCTCCCTTCCCTGAACAGTTGCCAACTGGGGTCAGGAGACAGGGCTGCTGCTTCTGTACCTAAAGCCTGCTGGCCAAACCCTAGTCAATTCTTTCCCCTTGGTGAGCTTCCATTTTTTCACCTGTGAAAAGAAATTAAAAACATAAGGCCTATTTACTGGATAGAGATGCCGTGAGGCTGTAATGATCTCAGATGTGGCGGTGTGTGGGAAATTTTACAATATTCTGGGTAGGGATGCGGATTGAAATGGTCATCATTAGCTCGACAGTACGACAGCTGTTGCTGAGCCCTCATGTGCCAAGCCCATTGTGCCAAGAGCTGTAGTACCATTCCCTTGAGCTCAGGGCAGTGTCCTCAAAGGGACACACAGTGATTATCTCCATTATACAAAGGAGAAGACTGAAGCTCAGAGACTATAAGTGACTTGCCCAAGATGTGGGGCTGGCAAGCTCCTACACCATGATTCAACCTTGGCGCTTCAAATGTGGGGCCTGTGTTCTGCTGGAATTATAAGTGTTGTTTGTCGACATGCAGAGTAGAACAGACTGTGGATGGAGAGGAGAGAAGCAAGGATCATCTCTACTGCACCCCACTCACATCTCACAGCGAGCTAGGGTACCAGGAGGTCTCATTCTCCTTATTTTACTACAGCCTTTCAAGGCAGGAATTATTCTCCCCGTTTTATGGGCAAGACAGCTGAGGCTTAGAGTAGTACACTGCATGCCCAAGGTAACAGGCTGTACCCACATGGAAGCCTATTGTGTTCCTTTGGCTTTCACCAACCCAGTCATGTCTCTCTTTAATGGCCATGCAATTGACCATCGAGTTCTGGCCCAAACACTCTAGGGACAGAAGGGGCAGGAGTGACCTCAGGAGGACAGCATGAACAGGGGAGGCTTCTCAGAGGTGAGGGCAGGAAGGAAGCTGGATCTTGCCAGAGAGTCCAGGTGGTCCTGGGTCACAGCCAATAAGGGCTTCCTACTCCCTGGGGAAAGGGTGGAGCCGGAGTCCCTTTCCTCTGCCTGGAGAGCCACAGAAAAGCCCACAGCATTGCCAGGTTACTAGTGGCTTACAGTTTCCTTGTAAATCTTCCTCCCATCTCTGCCCGAGATTATAAGAATCTCTGGGCAACTATACCCAACCTTCTGCAGTTGTACCACCTCTGCCTAGTGCAGTGTTAGCTACTGGCCATGGCATCTGCTGCCTTGGGTACTGCAAAGACTTGTATTTGAGGTAGGTGGCACTGATATCTTTTCTCCAAGATCTGAGTACCAGTCAAGCAGGGCAGGCTGAAAGGGGACGGGCTGCAGAGAATCGAGGTGGGCAGCAGCCTGGAGCTCAAGTTTCTTGCTACCAGCGCCTGCCATTTGGGAAAGCATCTGTGGGAAGGAAAGTGTAATGCTGGGCTCATGAGCAGGCCTCCGCCAAGCACTCACTGGATCACAGCTCACTAAGAGACCTGAAGCGGTCCTCTTCTCAGAGTCGCCGTTGGCCATAACTAGCAGGGCTCACTGAGGTCACTGGGCACATGGAGTCTCTGAAGCCCAGACATGCTATGCAATTTGTCCAAAGTCACTCATAAATTGCTGGTAAAACTAAATGCTGGAACACCAGACATCCCAGTTCAGCTGCCAGGCTGTGTCTTAAATGTTTTGTAGGTATTATAACATCTCATCTAAAAAGCCCTGTGAAATTAATGATTTTGTTATCTGTGTGTTACAGAGGAGTTACCTTAGTATAAGTTAGCTTATAAGTTGGCTTAGTATAAGTTAGCTTATACTAAGGTATAAGAAGCTTAAATGAATTGTCAGTCTTCCAACCCGTGGGGGGGGGCAGGATTTGAACCATGAGAGTTCTGGGACTATGCTTTTGGGCAGTCATAGAGAGGAGCGAGGAGGTTGTGTTCTTCCTCCCACTTGGAGGTGGAAAAAGTTTTCAGGCTCTAAGAACACATGGGAGATTTGGCCACCTTAGGTGCCCCGGGGAAGTCAGGGACCCTCTGTGGTCCAAGCTTTCTTTTGCTGATAGCCATTTGTTTCAGGGGTGGGGTGTCTAGAGGATTTATAGGACTTTCTAGTCCAGCAGACATGGCTCTGAGCCTCAGGACGGGTGTGCAGAGGGGCGAGGGGCTAGGTGTCAGATAAGGCCTGCCAGGGCCATATCCATCTGACTGAGGCAGAGGAGCTGCACCCAGACACAGCTGACAGGGTTCCTTGGCCAAGGAGAGGGCCTGCTCCTCAGGCTCCTGGGAGATAGGCGAGGCAGAGCAGGAGGCTGGCAGGGAGCTGCCCACTGCCCTTCCCACTCCCCACCCTGCAGTGGCTGCAGCAGGGCTCTGTGCGCTCACAGACATAATCACTTGCACCCATAGACACACATGTGTACACCCAGGACGTCTATATACCTGTTCTCATGCAAGCATTGTCACACTATGGACTTTCATATCTGCACACACGTGAGAGCCTCAGATGTTCACACAGCCCTGCGATAGATGGACATGGGCAAACATGGTCCCTAGGGTCCCTTACCCATCATGCCTGTTACATGGGGACACATGTGTCAGGCTGACTGCAGAGGTACAGCATGACCTGGACACACTGAGCAAGGCGTGCATGCTTCCTCATGCAGGCTGTCCGTCTCCTCCTGCAGGTACAGGCTGAAAGCATGTTGTTTTCCATTTTCCTTTGCTTCACACCTACACTGCAAAAGCTCTCTTGCATTCATAGTCTGTCCCACAGGTGTATCTGTTCTTGCACACCCACTGCCACACACCTACATAAAGACTGAGCTACTTTCTCTCCTCCTTTCTTTCCCCATCTCTTTCTCTTTCATACCCACCCACGCAGTAATCCTAGCCTCTCTCTCCCTCTCACCCACACTGTTTATTTCCTGGTTTTCCACCGTCTTTGCTGTAGCTACTCCCCAGCACATGCGCTCAGCGTAAGCAGCACCCTGCCTGGTGACAATCTCCAGGATCCAGTTCCTGTCCCCCACCTTGGTACAATAGGACAAGAGCAGCCACAAGGTCAAAGGAACTCTCTGGAGCCCTTGAGGCCAGGCCAAGGGATGGGAGAGGCCAGAGCCGGCTGTCACCAGACCTGCACCTCTGAGCCTGCCCACTGGGGACAAGGAATGTCTCAACCCCAACACCCGTGTTTCTGAGCGGGGAGTGGACATACTTCAACACATTTCCAACTTCCTGTGTGGAAACCTAAACACTACTCTTGATGCAGAGGACAGAAGGGTGTTTCCTTGCCCTGGTAGAACAGGGCAGAGACTCAGGGAAACTCCATGGAAACCAGGCTACCACTTTCTCAAGCATGGTCCGACTTGTGTGAATGGTGCTTGTTTAGTGGTCTTATTTTCAAGCTCAACTACCCCTCCTCAGGGAGGGTCTCAGGAGTGTGGGAAAATGGGCTTTTACAGGCATCCCCATGTATTGATGTGCAAGGACCACTGCCCTGGACAGGCACAGACAGGGCTGTTCCCAGCACAATGTTAATGGCATGCCTTCCAGGGGACGATGGGCACTCAGCCCCAGCGAGACCACACGGCATCCCTAACCTGCTGCTGACCACTGATCCAGTTGCGGGGCTGCAGCAGGCTGGTGTGTGATGGAGTGGCCCGCTTCAGCCCTGTGTACCTGTGCCCTACCGAAGGAGAATGACTGGGGCCTCAGAGGCTGAGGTGAAGGCTTTAGGGAGCACGGGCCGGAGGAGGTGCTGCATCTGGGTGGGAGGCGGTGTCACCCTTGGGGACAGAGCCACAGGTAGGTTCAGAAGGGGTTAGCAGTGGGGTGGATGGAGAGAAAAGAATGGGAACACGAAATGGCAACACACCTCGTG